AAATCAAAGGAAAAGGCATAAGAATTTTGAAAGACATTCCATTTGAGATAAGAGGAAACAACAATATAAGAAACTGACAACTTTTTAACAGAAAAACTCCACTCCCTACAGATGGATGATACCAGAGGGACTTATCTTCAACTTTAAGGATAATAAAGAAAAGATAGACTCTGTTGCAAAAGCTAAAGCATTTTTGGAGAAACATAAAAAAACTGAGGAAGAGGAAGAGAAAGTGGAGGACAACAACGCAGAGATCGACAGCAGTGAAAACTGATCGGGAAATTCTACCAGCTCATCGAACAGTTCCTCAGAAGAGGGATGAGAATCTGATATGGGAGCAGCTGCCCCCCAAACTTCTTAAAGCCCGCTGGGACTATGATAAGGTGTAAAGGGAAAAAGAAGAAATAAATGTGGACGTTGAAAGACTTATACTACTAAGCGTAAAATACCATAACCCACTTATTTTGACTGATACTGTTTATACTGATTTTTAAAAAATAATCTCACCCTTCATCTTGATTGAGTGAAAACTAAGGGGAACATTGAAATAAGCATTTGTAGAGTATTAGATCCTTGTTTAGCTTTGTATTCTTAGTTAGATGTCCCCCTGTCCCTATTCCTGTAGTTTGTAGTGGGGGGGGGGAGATTTCATATGGGAGATCTGGAAATATTTGGGTGATAACATCATCTAGTTTCAAACATTTTTGGCTACGAGCAGTTTCTAAAATTAATAATAAGCAGACGCTTATTGATTGCTAGAGTTAACCAGAAGCTCCACGTTCAGAGGTCACATTAATTGCTGGAGCAAACAAAATTGTTATTAAACTTGTTTATGGTTTTCCAAAAAGGATGAATGCTAGCCAGATGAATTCTTAGTCTGATTCAACATGACTCTTTGCATATTCTCACTTTGCATAGGACCCTTGGAACAGCTACATCCCACTAGTGGTGAGTGACACAACAAAGGGTGCAAGAGTGTGCTGGTAATCAGAGATTTTCAGAAATAAGACCTAACCTGATCTTCATCACTTGCCTTACTAACAGTGCACTGTTACTTCACTCTTAGCCCATTTAGATCCGCGGCTTTATATCAGATCAATAGCTGATGGGATTGCACTGTAAGGTTCCTTTCCTAGTATACAGACTCGGAAGTAGATTCTGCTGAACTCAGTGGGACTTCTTTTTTGAGTAAACATGCTTAGAATTAAGCTACATGGTACAAATGCATTTGGTTACTACACAGTTGCTAAATCTAATATTGGGGTCAAAATTTCTGTATTACATAACAAAGCTTAGAAATAAGAAAACCTACTTAAATGAACATACTATGTAAAACCAGCACCATCTGAGTAGCATTAAGAACTTAACAATGCAAAACATAAGCTTCCCGTGTTCATAACGAGCTGTGCTGCGTGTTCTGAATATAGACTTTTTGACACACTTATTCAATAAAACATACTACCACACTAAGTTTTAGCATCTTCTTTGTGGTTCAGAAGTTGGCTTGTTGGAAAGAAACCAAATCCAACTATTCCAAGCACCTGCATTCAGACATCATGACAAGTTAATCAGAAGACTTCTGAAGCATGAATATCTTCAACCATGCCATGTGCATGAAAGGAGGGAGGAAACATGCAAACATGACTATTAATCAGGTTTGTGCCCATCAAGTTCATGACACCTGAACAGTGTCATTGTTTTAATTATTCTGCCTATTATGAGACACCCAGGTAGAAAGCTTAGAGTTTTATGGCACAGTGGCATTACAACATGCAAATTAGGATCAGGATATTTTAAAACCAACAGTGTGAGAAGGGGGACTCATAAGGAATCTTTGTCTGGGAGTCTATGGTGGGTCTTTGCAGCTTTGTTCTTACCGCTTTCCTGCCTAACAACAGTATACAGCAGCCTCTTTTTTCCTAGATCCTATGACTGAGTCCTGCTTTCTTCTTGCCTCCTCTCTTCTGTGTTTCAGCCACCATGTTTCCTTAAGTTCTGCTTTTCAAGCGCTTGCCCACCACGTTCCATTTCCTTAAGGCAAACCTTCTCTTGGCTAGGCTCCCTAGAACTCCTGCCTCTCTCTCTCTTTAATGCATAGCTTCTCGTGACCATAAAAACTGTAAAATGTCTTTAGAACTGATTCTTGCCTGAATTCCAATCTCCTCTGCCCTTCATCTACCTTTCTTTCACCCTTTCTTCTTAAGCCTTCTCTGCACCCTTCCTTCAGTCACCTTGTCTCCTTTCCTGCACCCTAAAATCTATTTGCAATCCTCAGATATTTGTACAAAGCTAGTTCTGTCTACATAACCTGTGTGAGGAAGTCCAGGCAACTGACAACTTTCCCTTCACTCACAGAATGTAGACTGTAAATATTCTGACAGCACTGTTCCCTAAGCACACTCCCTCAGACAATCAGTGTCAGATGCTTTATTGCCACAAGTAGAATTCAATAGACTCCAATATTCTAGAGGAACGTCCTTTTGGGTACTGATCAAAGAGCACTTTCATTATCAATACAAGAAGGGTCTTGTAAATGTAGATCTACCTTTCCTTTCCAGCTGCTGAAATTGAGCTTCTTCATTTGTGATCCATACCTTTTACTGCTAGGTGTTTAAAGGCAGGCATTTCCTGAATGCCTGATGGTGAGAAGTAGAATGAATCAACAGGATGTTATCTAAGCAACAGAAATAATTACTTGGGAATTACTGAGAGTTATGCAGTAGTCTGACAGTCAGCTGGAAATCTGAAGGCATCACACCTATGCAACTACTTCCATTCCCATTTCTAAAGGCCAATCCCAACAAGTGTCCATGTGGTTATCAGTTCAGCAATGCAAGATGCAACAATCACATGAAGACTGCAACCATATAAACTGCATACAAAAATGAGAAGACTGTTCTTAAAATCAACCCCCGACATATACCAAACTTTACCTGAAGCTGCATTAAGCTTCGGCAAGCCTAACTGATCCTAGGATTAGAAATGCAGGTTCATTTCCCTGATGATGTACAAAAACTCACTGTGGCCTTTGGCAAGCCATCATCACCCAGCTTAATCTCTCTCACCTGGCTGTTCAGTGGATAGTGCAAGATAAGAACAGAAGACACTGTCCTGAGCCCTTGAGACTAGATGGGGGGGAAACTTAAAACAAACTGGTATACCACAGTGTGAGATTCCATACTTTCAGAGGAAGCATCTAGTTGTTCACATCACCGGCAGCACCCCAATAGAATGCAAGCAGGGGGTCAATTTGGATGTCAAAATTAAATGTCAGAATTGTGTTCTCAATACACACAACAATTTTCACCGTCATTAGGATGTCTCACTCTTCAAGTATAACATCGCATTGTATTTTGCATTTTCTCCTCCCATACGAAACCGCGAGAGCATCAAACTGTTATTCAAACTTGAAATGTACGACCGTGATCTGCATGCATATAATAATTTCATTCTAATACCTCAGTGGTAAATGATGTGAATCACACAACAAACAAACTTATGAACAAGCAGAACACTGAATGAGAGAGTTAAACAATTTATTGTATTTATAATCCCCCTTTTTTCCCAAAGGTGGCATAACTTTTATTTGGAATGAATCTGAATGTGAACACATTCAAGAAGCAGTTGGGGGGTCTTAACAGTAACACTTTTATATAAGACTTTTTTCTTCTGTGAACTCAATCTATTGCATCACTTACAAGTGCAGCAGCAGAAGAAGAAAATCACTGAGGCAACCTGATTTTATGAGGCAGCCCACAAGATCTCTGTTAGAAATACCCAAACTACAACTGCTAGCTCCACTCTGATCTAGCAACAGAAGAATACATTTATTATACACAACACATTTATTACCCCTTAAGGTGTCACAAGACTCTATTGTTTTAGATGCAACTAGCACAGTTACGCCTCATTAATTTGTAAGCAATGCAAAAGGCAGAGATCATGGCAGCCCTTTTTCATTTGGGAAAAAGTTCAGCATCATTTATGCATATTTTTTTCTTTCCGAATTAGCTACCATCTCTCACCAAACTCTGTTTCAACACTGTGAAACTGAAAAATTCAACTGTATATTTATGCAATCTATGCTTTAATGATCACACACTTAAAGTAAATTATGTAAAAAGCCTCATAATCAAGCTACTGTTATCCCCACAACTGCAGCAACCATCTGCCACAACCATCAGAAAATTATTGTCTTCACAACTTTCTCCTCTAGGGAAGAAAAGTGAAGCAGCAACAGATGCCATGAGAGGTCTCACAGAAGAGAGAAACTTAGGCTACAGTCCAAAACACATTGTATTCCCATGGACACAAGTGCACTAGGATTTACTCCTGGGTATGAATAACATCACATAGGAAAATTTTTGCTTTTCCCTTCTGCCACGGATAAAGATGTTCAAAGGGTTCTTCTGGGGCCGGGAAAAAAACAGTATAGCACACAATGTGTATGGATCAGTTTCATAATTTAACAATTGTTCCTTAAACGCCAACAGTTTTCCAGATGCTCCTCTGCACCACTACACTGTATTTCAAGATCTGGAACATGGTTCGTTCTCTCATCTTTTTGTAAGGAGTGCTTTCTGAGCCCACGAATGAGACCACTGAAGCTGTAATCCAGCCTTTCCCAAGGCTTCCCAAAATTAATGGGACTACTCGAAAGTAAAGAGGGTCGCGAGCTGCAGCTCCAGAGAGTGCAAAGTCGACGCTAGCAGTACTGATGATGAAGCATGGCACCAAACAACCAGCCACCCTCATTCCCTCCCTAATTTTTCCAGCTAAACCAGCATCCACAAAAAGGACTCTTGCAGAGCAGTAGGGCAGGCGGAAGCTGCATCAGCGGAGCCTATTGTCAAGGGGAGGAAGCCTCCTAAGAGGCAAAGACCTCAGGGCAAGTGCAAACGGAAGCGGGAATGAGAGGGGGGCCCAGAAAGAATCTGACATTCCCTCTCTCCACACACGATCAATGTGTTACTTTTCGGCAACCCCCGCCGATATCTGACCTGCTGGCCGAAGAGCTGCGCTCCGGCTCCTCCATAGCTCTGGCAGCAGCGGAGGAGGCGACTGTGGCGTCTCTCATGCATGCACCGAGACAGGCATCGCATCGGTGGGACCCTTTCTGCAGCCCTGGCCGGAGACGAGACCGCGGGGGCGCGGAGGAGGTCCAGAAGCGGAGGCCAACGAGTGTCACCGGCTACCCGGCTGCAGAAACCCGGCCGCGCAGAGCCAGCCTTGCGGCCGCCATCTTGAAAAGAGGCTCCGAGAGGAGTGAAGCCGGGAGCATCGGTAGTACGGAGAGCGTCTAGGGACAAAAGTGAGCCACAGGCGCTCTCGGCCGGTCCTCTGGTGAAAGAATGGAGTGGGGTGGCACCCGGAAGGGAGGGGAGGCGGCGGCGAGGCGAGCCGAAAGTTGTGCCTGCTGCCTGCCTGCAGCTGCTGAGCGCTCCGAAGAAGAAAAGGAAGGGCGGGACGAACGGAGGCGGCGGCAGCAACAATGTTTCCGAAGGAGGGTTGAAATTCTACTCCTGTGGGGATTCCTCTCCCTTACAGGTCATGATTCAACCCCATCGTGCGTCATTTCTACAGTATGGCTGTTATTATAGCATCAGCGTCTCGCATGCTGGTTACATACCTCATCCTGCAGAGAAAGCTCTCTCGGGGTTATCTCAGCGTTAAGAAGAGCAATTTGGCACTGGGGGTGGATTAAGCGGTGACGATGGCCACAGTGATGCTCAAAGGGATTTCACTGCAATCCTCCTTCCCATAATCCCAGCACTGAACCAGAACAATCCCGGGGAGCGCGGCCATCAGAGAAGCACGTGAAGGAATTGTTCACCAACCATATCCCTGAAATGCCTGTTCACGCACTCTGCTTCTCTATGGGGATGTCTACATATAGGTGTCCCATAAGTGACTGGGAGGGCTTGTATATACCCAAGCTGTGGTGTGCAGACCAGGAAAAGTCAACATCCCTCAGAAAGGTTATTTGGTTCTCGCTCCAGAATGAGGCACCGTACATTTCCTATGTTTTTTTAAATTGGAGATGAAAGATTTGCCCATGCTACATCTCTCCACTTTCTCTCCAGTTTTTCCGAGTCAGGTTTACTTTTCCCCTGCTAACACACACTGAACCAGTTCTGCTGTCAAGATTGTGGAGAAAAACCACAATTGGCAAAGAAGGATACAAAGAAAATGACTGCTTCCTGATAGTTACTGTATCAATCCCAGGGTATGAATAGCAAACATTATGTCAAGTGATACTTTACACTGTGTGAGCCTTTGTCCTTGAAGTAAAATGCAGGATTAAAACATCCAAAATTGGCAGTTCACCAGTAGAAATTAGTATCATCAAAGGTACTGCTTTTCCTACTTTGTACTAAACTCACTAAGCAATTATGCACTTAAACAAATCCTTGCTTCGGTGTTACCATACCTCTCCTTCCTTTACCCAGTACAGCTTCTTCATCCCTGCATATTGATGATCTAACACCTATAAAAGGTACACAAGCCCATGAGAGGTTTCTAAGAATCAAGGCATGACATAAGGTTGTAAACAGTTATCGTCTGTGGTAAGAATCTCTTCTGGATGACTAGAAGCTTTACAAAAGTTAATGGCTTTCTTTAGGCCACAAATGACCAATATAGATATGTGTGGGTAAGCTGTTAAACATGTTTGTGGGCTAGTAATTTCTATGGAATTATTTGCAAGCCTGATGAAAGATAGCTTAACAAAGAAGATGATGCTAAATACCTGTTTATAGAATCACTCCTCAACTGACCAGGATTTCTTCTGCAAAATCTGATTTCTGACAAAATATACATTAGGCAGCTTTAGGTTTTATATTGATTTACTCCATTTCTACCCCACCTTTCTCATAAGTGGGTCCTTAGAGAGGCTTCCATTATTCTCCTGTCCTCCATGAGATAGGCTCAGCTGTGTGTGACTGGCCCAGCAAGCTTCCATGGCAGAATGAGGGTTCAGACTTGGGTCTCCAAGATCCCAGTCTGACACTCTAAGCACCACACCACTCTGGCTCATGCCATATATTGTGTGTCAGAGTATTTTGATTTACATGAATTTTATTCTATGTGGCACTTAGGAGTTATGAAAACAAAAGTTGTCTCCTCTCAGTGGTCCCAATTTCATAAATGGAACTGAAACACTGTTACTCTTTCTTTTAAGTTACTTATATGTCTTGGTTCTTTATTTTGTCTGTATGCATTCTTTAAACTAGAGATCTCAGTGTTTAAAAAGTATAGCACTAACTCAATGCATAAAAGGATCTTTGTTGGATAGGAAAATCTGTATTTAACGTGTTAGAGTAGAGTTAATGTTCTATCAAAATAAGCTCTTAGTTTACAGTAACATGTTTGTTTTATATTTGTACTTTTGATATTTACATTTGTACAAACTGTTATAAATTTGCACTGTTAATAAAAATAAAAATTATAAATTGAAAACCCCCCACAAAAGTTGTCTAGAGTCATCTGACTAACCAAAGTATCACAAAACAGTGTGCGAGCTTTCTGATTCCCTAGAACTCTTAATCAGACTAGATATTTGGAAAATGGGAGTGGGGAAGAGAAATGATGTGTCAGACCCTGATTTTTTGAGATCTGGTTATTCCGATTACACTCAACACATCAATCAGCAGTAGATGAAATTCTGAAATAAAGTATAACATTATCTACCTGAAATGTACAATTATCCTGAAATTCAGTTCTCAGGAAAAAGTCAGGCCCACATATTAAGAACTGAAGGGGAACAGAACAGGACCACTTTTGGTAATGTAGTATCTGAGAACTGCATTTTATATTACTGCAGTTCCACACAAGGTCAGGAAGAACTTGTACCAGTTTAGCAAATCCCGTGCAGGAGTTCACATTCTGCAAACCATTTGCTGGTCTTCACTGAATTTCTGCTAATGCTGGAGTTTATCTACAAATGCTCTTCTTCCTAGCCTGGGGAGATTTTCCCACAGTCCCCTTTGCCTTTTATTGCATCCTGACAGGACTACAACAGATTTTACTTGGGACTGTCTTTTGAAATGAATTCAGAAACTACAGCTGATCCAGAGTGCAGCTGCCAGGTTGATGAGGATAACTCCAATTCTATGTCATTTGCAATAGCTCAGGGTTGCTTTCTGGACCCAATTCAAAATGCTGTTTTTAATCTTTAAAGTCTTAAATAGTCTGGGACCAGGATGTTCAAGGACTGTCCTCCTCCACAAGAACCTGCGAGACACTCATGCAATGTTTAGAAGATCTTTGTATTTTCCCACCACCTGAAGTGTTGCTGGTGAGTACACGGAATAGTCAAAGCACCATGTTTGTGGAACTTCCTACTGAGGAAAGTCAGTCTTGCCCCTACAGTGATGGTTTTCTGGCACAAGTTTAACACTTTTGTTTCAGAGGGCCCTTGGTTTCTATTTCTGATAGATAGATTGCAGGGAGTCTCTTTTTATTTATTTATTTATAGTCCACCTTTATCACTGAGACTCAAGGCAGATTACACTGATTTCTCTGTGTCTTAGATTGCTTTGTTTTACATGTCGCTTTAGAGTTTCTGTAAGCCGCCCTGTAAATCCACCCGGATGAAATAGAATAGAAAAATATTTAATAAATGATAGCAATGATAATGATATATCAGTATGCTTCATTATGTGACCTTTTAGGGCCCCTTGCCAAGAATGTACTTAGTAGTGTTTTAAAAATACATCTGCCTTGGGCCCGAACCTGACTCTGCAGCTTAAAAGAACTGAATCTTGGGCTGCTCTGCATGCAGAATTGGAGCTGGGACTGTTCTAAACGCAGATACAAAATAAATGGGGCCACCAAGAAGCTGTAAAAAGCAATGTGCAAAAGGCAAGAAGGCTGGATTTAATCCAGAGCTATAAAGGTGCTTTATGCCTGCATTAGAGAAAGGAGGGGAGGAGAAGGGGCAATACTGCCTGCTAGAATTAAGGGTGTAGAAGTAAATTTATGACACATCTTTTCAGTTAGTATACGATCTAAATCTCGGCAGCCTAATGAGTGAGGAATTGGAAAGGAGGGCTGGTTTTGGATTAGCACTGCTATTTCCTGCCACAGAATGTTCAGTGATGTTTTGTGCTCCCCAGTCTCATAATTCATCTCCTGCCTGGTCTTCAACAATCTATCCAGTTTTTAATGTGGGATGTCAAATGATCCCCCTCATTTCCTCCACCTCAAACTCTGCACTTTCCGAGTGTTGTTCACGCACAGCAGGGAATAACTTGGCACACATGTGGGAGGAGAAGGCAAGGATGGTGAAGGGAGTGCCATGGAGGACAATTCTGGGGAAGTTTTCATGAAGTCCTGAAGTTCTTGGGCTACAGCATGGCCCCCATGGAGCCTTCGCATTCTCACAGTTCCTCTCCACCTGCACACGCACACACAGAATTGCATATAAACCCACCAGAACAATTTATATATACAACAGAGGGGGGGGGGGGGTATTGCAAAGACCTCCTTCCACACATGACTTTCAGTTGTGTATATAAATTGATCTAATGGATTTATACACCAGTGCCTCTGATGAAATGAGCTCTGACTCACAAAACACTTTGCTGGAATTAATTCTGTTGGTATGTAAGGTGCTACTGGATCCCTCTTTTATTCTGGTGCTCTGGCCTAAACAACTCCCCAGCTGGAATCAGATCACATTGGCCTCTGTGAAACATAATGGTGGGAAGTCCTGTAAGAACAGGTAGAGTCTGGAGAATCTCAGCTATGGGCGTATTTAGTCCACAAAGTGGAACAATGGGAAAGGAAGCACCAATTGTAATGGACTAAATGAAGGGAACATTCGCTGGATTATGGAGAAAGCAAGAGAGTACCAGAAAAACATCTACTTCATTGACTATGCTAAAGCCTTTGACTGTGTGGATCACAACAAACTATGGCAGGTCCTTAAAGAGATAGGAGTACCAGACCACCTCACATGTCTCTTGAGAAACCTGTAGAAGGGTCAAGAAGCGACAGTTAGAACCGGATATGGAACAACTGATTGGTTTAGCATAGGAAAAGGAGTATGACAAGGATGTATATTGTCACCTTGCTTATTTAATAGATATGCAGAGTACATCATGCGAAATGCTGGCCTGGATGAATCACAAGTGGGAATTAAGATTGCTGAGGAAAAGATCAACAACCTCAGATAGGCAGACGATACCACTCTAATGGCAGAAAATGAAGAGGACCTAAAGAGCCTCTTGCTCAGGGTCAAAG